ACACACGTAGTGGTCATCATTCAGCTATTGAAATGAGGTTAAAGTCCGCAATCACTTTTGCTTAAAAATAGAAGAAGTAGAAGAGGGCTTGTTCTACTTCTTCTAAAGGCAATGAGAAATGAAATGGCGGTAGGAGTAGACAATATAGCAAACTAGAACAAATAAACGAAGGTACAGATAAGTTGAAAAAAGGATATGGGTTTCGTCAGTCGCTCTAAAATATGCAAGAACAAACGTCTAATTGTAAGACAAGAAGCAGAAGATAAATTGGATGAGGAACAAGCAGCGCCGGTGTTTAAACCTGGCAGGCAGACCTTCGATCTAGTATATACAGACGTTATAACACTGATAGAAGGTGTGAAAAATGAACTACAACAAAAAATTAACGAAAATAAAGATTATGTGTACAAAGAAAGGGGAAAAAATGAAAACATGAATGCACAAGTAAACGGGGAGAGATTGGAAGCTATTTCCAGGTTAAGGCTACCTTTGAGGCCTTCCATCTATTAATTGTGTTAAGTGGCTCTTTTGTAGTCACAGCCGGGTTGGGGTCCAATATAGAGCGTGCTCGCTGCCTTTTTAATCAACTTTTTCGCCTTTTCATTACCCTCAATATCTTTGTGACCTGGAACCCACCATAGAGTAATTTCATTGCCCCTGGCGAGTTCTCTCAGGTGGTGATACATTCTGTGACCAGTGAGGTTTCACATGTGTCCGTGAAAATGTTTATCGATACAACTTTCTGTCCCTTTCCAAGTTCAAAACGGTGCAGAAGTTTATAGTAAGAATTTCAGCTTGAAAAACGATTATATCCGAGCTAAGGGGCAATTTAATGTGGCTCTTTTGAGTTGAGGCTCACCCTTCGTCCAATCATTCGTGCTTTTAAATATAGTCTTATATGGCTGGTTGACAATGATGGATTCCCTGCATCAACATGAGTGAAGAATATGTTTTCAGTGATACGACTGGTTCCTGTTGGATGTACAGATGAAGTGGTGTGAGACCGAATAGGGCTTCAAGAGCAGCCGTTGGACAAGATTTCATTGCACCCGTTCATGCCCTTACTTAATATCATAATCCACGTTTTTTCCAAAAGCATATTTGCTTATGACGATGACGCTTAAAACAAAAACCGTTTATCTTCTTCGGCTTTTATTTCAATCCTTCCTCACCATTGCTTACCGTATCTTTCAACATCATGCTCGACATTCTTAACATAATTGTTGATATTTTTTAACACTGCCATGAAAGACATCTTTTTCAATACACTCTAAACAACTTTTTCATCATCTATTAATGTCATCCTTGATATCTTTAATTAACGAATCTTGTCAAATCTGTTAATATCATTTCTATATCTTCTTATATCGTCAATGTCATCCTCAACATTTTCCCCATAATTTATCAATTTATCGATATCCTATTGATATATCTAAACATTACACTATAAAACTAATATCAACAAATATTAGCTTTATAAGCAAATATCCTTACTCAACATAAATCTACAATTTCTCAATTGGTAGGTAGGTTCTGGCCTCCTTCGACATCTTGATAAGAGCAGAAGATTTTACGTGCTAAGTTGTTGTAACTTCTGGCAATATACTATATACAACTAAACGTACAGAATTGAGTTTATGGTAAGTCAAACTGAGTAGTATTTTTTCTAGGAAGAGCATCTTATGTTAAGTTACTGTATTTGAAATTAAAGCTGTGATTTAATATTCATGATATTTTAATATCATAAGTTGTGTTACTACAGTTCCGTTCCTTAATCAGTAGAAAATCTCGCAACGACCTTGAGTTACTATCGTTTCTTTGCGCCACTTGTTAAATTTTGGGGTTAGGGTTGTTTACTCATCACTAATTCTGATTTGTGTATGTTTGGATTAAAGTAGTGTAAAATGAATAGAACAGAAATAATTCTAAAATTAGCAAAGCAAAGGGTTGAAGCCTACACTAATTATTGTGGTGAGTAGATAATAAATTATAGTTTTCTTTCTGTTATTATGTACAATTAATATTTATAAACAGGATCAGATGCAAGTATCCTCCCTCAAGCTATAATATAAAAAACCAAACAGAAAGTTGTTTACCGGAAAATATACAGAGTGATATTGCAGGAAGGACAGTACCTATGTGATAAATTAATCAATTCCACGAAGAAAAATGTACTTCTAATTACGAAATAGATAACTCCAATTATTCGGATGTTAATCCTGAAAATAAAGCAATGGTTGAAAAGACAAAACAGCTAAGAGAGAACTAAATTTAGGAATTGAACACGAAAATAGAAAAGGCAATGTTATTGCTTCTAGAAAAATAATGTAAAAATGTAAAGTAAACTGCAGAAATAGGTGCCGAGAGAAATTTGATGAAGACCAAAGGAAGAAAATATTTCAGGACTTCTGGAAGTTAGGGGACCACACAAGACAGTGGGATTATATTGTAATGTGCGTGCAGTAAACAGAAAAAGAGCAAGTTATACACAAAAACGATCCAAGGCATAATTTTGCACGAGTTTACAAATTGAATGTTTGCCATGCGGTTATAAAAATTTACAAAACAATGTTTTGCAATATGCTAGGAATATGGGAGATATGGGTGACAACTGTTTTGAAGAAAATCGGAGAAAGTGGAACTGTAGAAGAAGACACATTAACCTTTTCCCCTTACTTCTATCTCTTTACATTAGAAAAAATTCAAACAAAATGTATTTGGGAAACGGTCTATATATCTCAAAAATATATTGCATGCACAGTGAATATATTAAAAAAAGTTTTCAATTCCGAATTTAATATAGGTTTTTTAAGCCCAAGAAAGATCAGTGCCAACTTTGAACTGCTTATGAAAATGCAGATAAAGATACAAAATGCAAGAAAAATACGATACGCACTTGAGTAATAAAATTATATCTAGGTCTTTAAAACATAAAGACAAAAACTTGGCAGTTGAGGATTGCTTCGATTTTCAAAAGATATTGGTGACCCCGCAGTCAGAATTAATACATTTTATTACAAAAGCAAAATTGCCACATACAATTTTACAATTTATGACAGGGACAATAGTCAAGGATACTGCTATATTTGGAACGAAGAGGTTGTAAAACCAAGCCCAAATGAAATAAGTGGCTGTTTGTTACACTTTCAATGTCAATAAAGTATTTATCTGTTCTAACAATTGTGGACGGCAAAACAGAAATCGTTACATTTTCTCTATGTTTGCTCATGCAGCAAATGTTTTTGAAATTCAGATAACGCACCGGTTTTAAGAAAAAGAACTACTATAATAATAATGGCTAAAGTAACCGGTAAGCCCAATATAGTTAAAGAAATGCCTCAAGCCGATTTTGTCAGTTTTTCTGATATGGTAAAGAATCAATATTGGAAAGTTGATGAAAATCATAAACAGGTAAAATTAAACAAGATTAGAGAGTTAACATGGTCACCGGATAGTCGCAATAAATTAACTAATTCCGACGAAAACTGTAGCAACTCATTAAAACAAAGTCAAGAAAATAATAAAAAAATTAGATTTTAATAATTTGCTTGATTTTCTGATATAGGACTCACATACAACTTTGTATTTACATAAAAATTAATATACATTTTTTTTCTAAATCACTAGATAAGTATTGGAAAGAAACTTTAACAGCGTTTTTTTGAACTCTGTTTCAAAATGAGTTACAACAGTTTTCGTTGGATGAGTCGATATGAAACTAATGGTGCGAAGTAAGATGACTTCTGCATTTTGCCATGTGTCATGTATTTTACATTCGCTAAGGCACTTGATAAGAATTATGTACACTGCCTCTTCTACGATTGTTCCTTCCTCCTTTAACATGTCGATGGTGATTCTATCTCTATTTCTATCCTGGGCCTTTTTAGTTGTTTCAGTGCTGTTTTATTTCCTGTTTAGTTATTATCGATATATTCGACCTACTGTGCAAATGTGCATTGCTTTTTTTCTCGGATCTGGTGGCGTATTTGTATACATATGTATAATAAATGTTTAAGAATAGATAATGGGGCCGTTACAAATTTTTTATTGGCTTATTCGATAGTTTAGCAAAATTGAAGACTTCTATAATTTTTTATTTTTCAAACTGGGCTTTAGTTTTTTCAAAAAAAAAATAGTGAAAATTTGAAAAAACTTTGGTGACGCCACCGGCGTTTCGCACGCGATTGGTTGAAATGAAAATCAATAAAAGGTGCATGAACGAGATGCCACGAGAATCTTATGCGCTAGAAGAAGAGATCCGAACGATGCACGTTTGTGTCTTCTTGATTTTACGCGAAAACATCGTAAACGTCACCAAAGCTTTTATAGAGGGAATTTTGAATTTTAATATTAATTATTGCAAAAGTTAAACAATTTTAGGATCTGAAAATGTTACTAATCCTTCTATTTTTACATAGTTTATCGATTTTTTGAAATCGATAAATTCGATTCTATTCGATTGAGGGTAGCAACTATTCGAAAAAGTGAGAAAGATATATTAAGAACTAAGATATGATTTATATATTATATTAACTTTAATTGTAATTGTAGTAGTTAATACCCAAATAAATTAATTAATAAATATTTACAATGTAAACATATAGTACAGCGTAATCTTTACCTTTTTGTTTTTATGATTTCATACATTGATTTATCACTTTATGATGTAATTCATATTCTCATAATCTGTAATCATAACGTTATAAAAATCAAAGCTTTTGATTACTTCTGTTTTATCAATAGGCACTATAAAAAAGCTCAATCTTTTTTTTTGGTCGAGATGTTTTAAAATCGACACTTTTCAAACCTGCAGCGTGTAGTGTGTAGGCGTGGTTAAAGAGGAGCGCCGGCGTCGGCGTCGCGTGACGTCATCACCACTGATAATCAAGACTGATGTCCAATAATGGCGTCGTCTTCCGCCATAGTTCAGCCGCAGCTCGCCGCAAACGTCGGTTCGGTTTGAAAAATTTTTCCAAAAAATCAAAAAAAAATCAAACCCTCAAAAATTAATTAAAAAAACATCTACAATTAAAATAAATAATGGGAAAATACTCGGGATTCGTACATCCACATACATATTAAATTTAAATTACAAGTGGACCCCGTTTTTATCTTTTAGATTTTCGATAAGAAACCCTGAGAAGTTGATAAAACTGTCGTCAGTCAGGTCGGTTTCGCGGCTCGTTCGGTGAACAACGCGACTATTTTTGGTTCTGGGAGTGTGACAGAAACGCAAAAATTAAGGCGAGATGTCCCTTTTGGAACAAACTCGAAGTCTTCAACACGTCCAAGGTCTCGTCCCAGGTGGTCCACCCATGATGGCTCCTCATTCAATGGACGGACCACCAAACTCAGATGTTTTACTTGCACTTTTAGCCAGAAATAAAACTTTAGATGGTGAGTGCATTTCAAATTTCTACTTACTATTACTTCATCAAACTCTGCTGTTATTCTTCAAAACAGAATCATATAAAATTTTATTAAAAACGGTGCAATAAAACTACATTACTTGTTAGAAAGCAAGTTTATTCATTTGTACAAGAAAATGATCCGGTTTCATAAAGAATTTGAAGTTCTTCAACTGCTCCTAATATTTCTTAATAGTACTTTATACTATCGTTAATCCTTAATGTCTACCAGTTGCTCTTGACAATGATTCTTAATAACCTCTTATCCATATTCTGCATAATTTTTCAGTTCAATTTTCGGTCTAGTACTATAACAACTTACCATTTAAAATAAGTTCGTATTTGTGTATACTGCAAATTAAAAAAAAAACCTTTGGGTTATATTTGGAAATTGAGACAATTTATATCTTCTATTCAACTCTTTTATTATTATCAAACCGGGTTGAATTTAAAAAATTATTGCAATGAAGCCCTACGCCTCATTGAAACTAAAAATTGAAACAATCACACCTCTAGAACAAATTAAGATATCACTATTAACCAAGATGCATTTTAAAGCAAATTTATTTAGAATTAATATTAACATGGGGTTTAATTTAAAAAATCGTTACAATGAGGTTTACGGGAATTAAAAAATTATTCCTTCAACACCAAATCTTAAATAATTATCGAAAAAATTCTTGTTATCTCAATTATTTTTTGAAACTAGATTTTTTTAATATCAATATAATATATATAATTTCATCAAGATATTGGTGTGTTCAAAAAATCGTCGGTAATAGATTAATAGGGAAGAAGAAGTTAATTTTGACACATTAAAATCTAAATAAATTTGCTTTAGAATGCTTTTTATTTAATGGTGATATCTCAATTTGTTCTAGAGATATTATTGTTTCCATTTTTACTTTTATATCTTCTATTATTATTCACATATCGAGTTGAAATTGAAATATCATTACAATGTGCCTTATTTATGAGAATTAAAAAATATTTATTGTTGAAAGAAACAACACTAAATTTTAAAGAATTTTCCATCTAAATACATTTTATTTCATGGTGTAATATCAATGAAATCTTGATAAGCCTATGAAGTTGTAGTACTACTGATCGATTCAAAAATTCGTTGGTAATAGATTAATAGGAATAAAGAAATTAATTTCAACACATTAAAACCTGAATGAATTTGAAATATTTTGAAATATAGCTATATTATTAATATAATATAATTTGTTTTAATTTTTACTTTCGAACTAACTTTACTGAATCTATTTCATTATTATCCATACACAGGGTTGGATTCAAGAAATCTTGTTTCATTAATGGTCAAAATGATGATTGAAACAACATAATAATAACATAATGATATAAAAGTGCTTAAATAGTATATTAAAAAACAAGTTTCGTAAGACACGCTTGAAATGCACGAATTCAAGTTGAAAAACGAGTTTTTTAATGAATAAGTGCTTTAAGTCTTATGAAACGTGTTTTTTATGCTATTTTTTGTAATTCGCGTTTTTTTTTTTTCTCAAAAATAAAATATATTTTGACAATGTAGGCAAATAGGTATGTAGCAGTTGGTAACAACGTAACACTTGAAAATAGAAATTTGAATGACAAATAGAAACTGTCAAAACACAAAACGTATTCACCTGATGAAAATGTTTCATGTACACCTCCCAAAATAAGAGAAATTGCTCAGAGTTCAATGTCCTCATCATTGTGGACCTTGTATTCGATTTTAAGAACGTGTTTAAACATCCATAGACAAACGTTGTCACATTGACAACTAGAAAAATTAATGACCCAATGTCACCAACTTGAACTGATTTCATAAAATGTTACTAAAATCTCATTACAGCATCGGATGCTGTAAAGAGTGTCATTACAGCACCCGTTTGAGTACTGTAATAGCTTTCATTACCGTCGCGAATTACAAAAAACACTTTTATAAAGTTGTTTCAATCATTATTTTGACCGTTAACCCCGAAAATTTACTGTTTTTGTTAAATCATATCAACACTAAATTTTAAATTAATTTGTTAGAAAGTATTTTTTCAATAATATTCTGTTATAATTGAAATCAAATATTTCACACAACGATTTCGGTCTTATGATTATCAAACTTCCTTCACAGACAAACTAAAAATCTGAATTCCGAAGAATCGACGAAACATTGTAATCCCGAATAATTTATGAAAATACCAGAAATCCTAGAAAAGATTGAAATACTCTTTATGTAGAGGGAATCGCTTTAAGCATATGAATGGATAGTAAATATTTTATTTATGTTTTACCCAACTTGTTTGCATACTGATTCTGCACATCGAAATTGGATGGAACGTCTCCTGACGTTTATGAAAAATAAAAAGGAAAGATTACTTCCGTGTCTCACACCTTTGTTTTAGAGCTAAAATATTTAAAAATTATTTTAAGCGGTCTAACTTGATTATTAGTATCTTATATATTATCAATAACCTCTAAAAAATGAAGAACTGCAAGCAACAGATAACAGAACTAAAAAAATAAAAGAGAAACACAAAGAATATAACGAACAAATGAGCAGGAGTGACAGAGGAGAAGAAAGAGATGAATACAAATGTCGAAAATACAACATTATACTTGTATTAAATAAAACACATCTTAAAATTTAAAAATAAAACGACTGAAGTTTCCGTAATAATTTTTGTATTTAGATCTAATATACTAAAATAATTATAATTGTTTAAAATATAAAAAAATAAACTCTATAATAAACAGCAACAAAATAAACTAACAAAAAAATAATAAAAATTAACATTCTTCTCATCAAAAATAACTGCTTTAGATAATGGTTTAAAAATGAAAGGATAGTAGGTTGCAACGCTTAAGGTTGCATGTCCTTCTGAAGCTCTTTGTAAGGAGCAAGAAGAGAATTGAGGCCATTTTTAAATTTTGTGTTTCATTCCGTTAATGGATCATGTTCTACTATCTTTTCAGCAAGATTATTTGCTTCTTGTATAAATAAGTTAAGTTCCTTCAAAATTAATTTGTTACATGGGGAATTAATATCTTCTTCATCTGTACCTAATTCATTTTCTATTATATCTAAGTCTGCACAGCACAACTCTTCCTGTTGGTCATTGACGAGAGATTCGATATTAGCTGCTACAATGGTTTAAAAATCATCTATTGCCTCATCAACTTCACTTGCACTTTGGGCAGTGTCTTTTTGTAACAGTTTATTTTCCAAGGATTACTCACGGTTGATACTTTAATATCATTTGTCAATATTGTATAACATCCACACATCTTTTATTGAGAGAGAAATGTCATTTTGTGATTTTTCATGTATAAAACTGAACGCGTGCTGGATATAATGACTGTTATAAACTGTTATAAGACTTTGGTCTAAAGGTTGTAACAAGGACGTTGTGTTGGGGGCAAGAAATACCACCTCCACACTTGGGTGAGGTAATTTGAGAGCATCTACTGGATGAGAGATCCTTGTTCTTTAAAGCTCGTGGATTAGCTGCTCGATATATTAACATTGGTTTTGTAACAAAGTCTCCGCCTGCATTTGCATAATATAAAAGTGTAACTCTATCCTTAACTGATTTAAAACCAGGAACAGTCTTTCCATTTTTTGAAATGTATGTTCGTGTTGGCATTTGTTTCAAATAAAGCCCGGTTTCATACTTTTTCAGGATGGTAATCTTTTTCTTCTATTAATTTTACTATTTCACCAGGAAATTTTGTAGCTTGCTGATGATGAATGAGCTGACGCTGATTTTCTGCAAAACTTAATGTTATGGAGATTAAATCTTTCGGACCATCCCCTATTTGCTTTAATCTTACAGTCATCTTCAGTACAATCCATATCACCCGAAAAATGTTGATAAAGTTCCTTGGCTTTATCCATTAATCTAGCTCTGGTTAATGGTATATTTCTGCGACCTTGGTCTTCAATCCAAAGATAAAGAGATTTCTCCATTTTTTCAATATTTACATCGCGAACTTGTGGCGTTACCTATAATGATGAAGACATGCCACTTTTTACGCTATTCCTGATTTCATTTTCTTTTTTCTTTATAGATCTTATCGTAGATTCATTAACACCAAAGACCCGACCTACTTCGGTAGCTCTTTTCCCTTCCCGGAGAATATCAAGAACTTGAATCTTTTTTTCTCGAGTCATAACTGACTTTGCACCTTTGGCAATTAAATTTATTTCCGTCGCAGGTCTTTTTGTAGCCATTATGAGTACTGTTGTAAGATTAATTGCTTATAATATTATGGTGTAAAAAAATGTGGAGAAATACTAACCTGAATAAAATATAAAACATAAAAATAAGCACCTAACCTAACACAAACATTAAAATCGATCATAAATGAGGGATTTCTAGAGAAATGCATTTGCACATAAAGCTTGTTGCTTGTACAGTAAAGCCTTCGTTTTAAATAAACAAAAAAAGGACGTACTTGCTATGTGATCGTGAATAATCGAGTCGTGATGTTGAAAAAGGTAACAACATTTAAAACGCGAATATACGAATCCGCGTAACTTGAAGCCGCGAATATCGGGGCTCTACTGTATTATAAATATAAAATATAAAACAGCAGGCATTTTAAATAAAATATATTAGGAGAGTTAAGGGAGTAACCAAGAGATAACATACGAAAAGAAGCTAACATCGAATCATTAAATGAGTTTATCGAAAAGCCATACATAAGATGATAGGAACATTTGCACAGGATGCAAGATACAAAACAGGTGAAACAAGTTTGGCAAGCAATAACGGGAGAATCAAGAAAAAGGTGAAGAACTCTGTAAGAAACTAAAAGATTTGCTGTCCGTAAGAAAGCATGATACAAACTCGTTCATGAATGAACGAACAAGAAATGTTAGAACATAAATGAGTGTAGAACTTCCAAAACGAGGTTAAAGCTCAAATAACGACAGGAGGTTTGATACACCTTGTGGGACCATAAAAAGAGTCAGAGAAACATGTG